CAATGAGCAATCTCGACTGTCTCACTGTTTCGGAGTTGCGAGATTAAAAACAAGAAAAGAGAAACATGATAAGAAACAAAAAACCAAGATAGGAAAGAGAGAAACAAAAAGCTCACATTTTCCCGACACCCTCATAAACATTCGTATCAGAAGGCAACTCAGACAACTCCTTCGATGTAAGCTGTAGCATGCGGATATCGCGCTGCTTGGCCGTCATATGAGCCTTGGTGATACTGATCTGCTGCTGCGAGGAGATCGCACGGGTCTCAATCTCCTGGAAGAGCTGTAGTTGTTTGAAGCCATTAGCATTTGCACGCCTTTATTGGAAATTGATATCCTCAACCGGAAACAGAGACAAGAGGCTGAGTGAGACCGAATTGACTTGGCACACCGCTTCCCATGACCATCTACTCGCGGTATCCGACCCAAATATGTAAAATGATTCAGCCTGAGACATACCTTCTGGAGAGCTTCGTTGGGAATCGACATCTTGGCTGTGGATTGTCTTCGGAGCTTGAATGCGGTTGAGGGGTAGGAGGGGTGCGGAGGACGGGCGGAGGTGAAATTGTTTTGTTGTGGACTCCGGATTAGAGATTTGGGTTTCTCGCTGGAGGAAATGGGTATCGATCAATTGGTTTTTATTGAACTGTTTCGCACGGGTGTCTCTGTCAAATGTCTTGGTCAACAGAACCAATTCGACTTGCTCGGCGAAGCTTTGGGGTTAAGGCGGTGGGCAGGCGGGGCGGTGGAGTATTGCCTGACTTAGGGCTCGAGGTATACGAGAGGTATACGAGAGGTGTTTCAGGTCTTAGAGAAAGCGTGGAGTTTGTGTTAGGCAAGGCAGACTGATGTATCTGCCTCTTTTATGTGCCTCTTTGGTTGAGAGGATCTAACTGGATTAGATCAAGATTCTTCAGACATTCACACCGAACTGATGTTTAGGAAGCGCGAGTTTAACACAGGCTCAATACAACTAGAGCCCCTTGAGTTAAAAAGAAAAATTAAGATAAGAGGTTCTTCAGTGTCCAAACCAATTTGTTAGAAAGAAGCACCTATATATACTTCCCAGCAGGAAGGACATAAATCCATACAAAAATTGTATGTACCAGGCCCATCAGATATTTTGGACTTGAATAGCTTCATTCAAAGTGAATAATCCCATTTCAAATCATAAATAAAGAAATCTAGCAGTTTTACTTCAAGGGGCTAAACAAGGTTGCAAAATCTGGCGAACCCATAAAGATATGGAAATTACTAGGACCATTGCCCCATCGAGACCTTCTAGCATATGGCAACCGCACGTGAATCTCTCAAGTAGCGGTGTAATAGAGTATGATAGAACGAGACATCATAATATTCCCTGCAAGCCATGAGATCTAAGATCTGTAGGGACATCACTGCCCGTTTACAGCATGTGAAGACCCGTAGGCTAATCTATCTAAGACCGGTGACAATCAAAAGCTTTTACCTGATGTCTACTGGCTTCAAGATACAGAGTAGAGAAAGATTCGAATGGATATTTGCGAAAAAAAAACCAATGGGCATTAAAAAAAATCACGATTCCCCCCAGTGCATAATTCCTTCAGCGTGAAAATATCAGAAATCTAAAGACCAGACCCTAAGTATCGAATCGATTTCCAGCCAGATCCGAAACCAAATGAAGTAAGACGAAGTCCAGATTGATGGGCATGACAGTATGAAAAGTAAAAGACCGAACCAAGGAGATTATTCATGGACCCCGTACGACCAAACTCCGTCTCCCGCTGGGCTTTTTTTTGGAAAGCCGTTGGCGTGGCCAACTCTGCTCATGTTCTCATCCAGGAGTAAGCAGCAAGAAGCTGGTCAGCCAGTTTAATAACGTGGGAGACTATGAAAGGCCCGTGAGATAGCCATGGGCATTGTTTGAGTGCTTAGTAGTTGTTAGAGTTGGGCTCAGTGGAGCACCACATCTCGAACTCAGAGCTGGTAGGGTCAGCCATGCTTTCATGGCGAGCCATATCCCATGATGGATCCCGGCCTTCGAGGCTCTGCATGCTGGGGAGGTAGGCAGAGGTCATGCTAGAATGCGCGTATGAAACGGCGCCGGAAGACATGGCCGGCGCCGATGAGGCTGTGTAATAGCCAGTTGGAGTCTCGTCGGCCCAGGTATATGAGCCAGGATTGGCATAGGAAGGACCGGCCATGGCGGAAACTCCAGACTCCCCGTTGCTGAGAAGACGAGGGTCCATGTCGTGCATGGGGAGACCGTGCGAGTGGGTAAGCTGAGGCTGGAGCAACTCGTGGTGGGTAGCACCAGGGAGACCGGCGAGGGAAGAGCCATATGCCATATCCTGTTGAGGGCTGTTGGAGCGGTAGTGCATGTCTCCGTAGGATTCGGTGGGCTGCATCATTGGGAGACCACTGGGGTGGCTTGTGTTCTGCCAGGAGGGGTGAATATATCCGGGTGTCATCATAGAGTCAGGCCCAAATGGTGAGGAATCCCGGCTACTATCGTAGTAGGCCTCTTCGAAACTTTGGGATCGTGAGTGGGCGTAAGGAGACCCGCGATACGTAGTCGATCCAAGGTCACTTTCCATGTCAGAGAAACCGCCTTCATCGGCGACGTGTCCTGGCGTGAGGGCAGGAGAGCCACTATCACGTCGGCTGGCAGTGGTTGCGGCTTTGTTGGGGGAGAACTTGTAGTTAGGATGTGTTGCGGCATGGTTGTCGCGTTCTAGCTTCGCTAGATCTTCGTATTTCCGTCGGATCTCAACCGGCTCTAGCTTCCAGCCCTGGCCAGCGATCTTGGAGACGATCTGGTGGTTGTTCGCACCCACTAGTCGCTTGGTGCGCTCGGCATATGCAGACCGATAAAGCATGAAGGAATTCATGGGTCGAGAGATCTTCCCGTTCTTCTTGCGGACCTCGTCCTGTCGCTCAGAGGCAGATCGAGACACCCAGGCGTCCATGTCTTTGATAGGAGTAGTGTGAAAAGATTCAGTAAGTTGACTGATGGGTCCCTCAAGCTGGATACCCGAATCGGAGAGTTCTCTCCGGTTACGGTTGCGTCGCTGTCGGGCTGCCCTGACTGGAGCGTCTCTGACTGGTGTTTTAGCACGAGAACTCGGGGACCGTGACCAAGCTGGCGAAGGGGTCCTGGTAGGTGACCCCATTGGGATGAGGTCTTCATCAGATACCGGAGGAGGCGTGGTGACCTGGCCAGACATGATCTATCTTGGTCAGTTTCGGTCAATGGAAAGATGGGAGTAAAACTTACCGATTGAGGAGGCATGTGAGGATAAACGGGGGCGGTATAAAACGGAGGAGACCCGTAATGCTGAGATGGTTAGCATTGCTATCAGGCAACAGCCAGAAGATCAGACTCACTATTTCTTGACCACTGTTGATTTCACCAGACATCTGCATGTTGATGCACATTGATCGGTACGTTTCAGGGCCTTGGAAGGAGTCTTCGGGCAAGGGATGTCCGTCTGTAGACTGAGGAGGCGTAGGAGGAATGGGTCTTGCAACCAAAGTCATTGTTGTGATGCTGATGAGATAGGATAAAAAGATGATATGGGTTGAAAGCTAGACGAGAGTAAAGAAGAGAAAGAGGATTTCCAGAAAGAGGCAAGAAGTGGAAGAGATGTAGAATAAAGATATTCTCTGCTGTCCTACGCAGATGGGTTTGTCTCGCAGTTACGCTCTCCTGAAAGAGAGGTCTCAAACACGACTGCAGATGCACCCGGTGGCAGGTGAGACAAGCACTGCAACAATCCAATTGGATGTGTGAGTGTAGGTAAGTATGAAGACACTAGGTATGGAGATCAAGTGGATATGTTCTTCAAAGAGGAAAGACAAAAGCCAAAGACTTGGATATTGCAGATTGAAAGATGGGCGGGTCTCGCAATAAATAGAGGAGGGGGAGAGCAGGCAAGTAGCCAGAGAGGCTGAAACCTCCAGAAGAAGGCCTGGAATACAATCCGCACTTGGATCTAGTTCTGGATGTGATTTTGAGATTATTTTGGATTAAATAGAAATAGAAATGCAATTTAATATTTCTAATTAATTCCATTAATCTCATTTCACAGATTTATTTAATTGGATTTCGCATTTCTTTATTTGATTTCCTTTCCTTTCCCTTTTCTACTCTAAATCCAGTGGAGGCGTTCATGGCAGATTATTTACCACTTTGGTCCTAGTCCGTGCTATTGGCGTGATAGGCTGCATTTTCAATATTCCATTCAATGCTGAAATAGTATGGATATAGATCTGTGACTGCAATCCTGGCCATATCTCAAACATATTGTCTTTGTGCCAAATTTGGAGACCTACAAGTAGCCTGGAGAGAAAGAAAAAGGTTCGGCTGGGTGACGATGTATGGCTCCAGTATGGAGCCATTACACTAGGGCAGACTAGACCATGGGCCTGTAGGAACTTTCCACCGCCCGATACCCGGGGATGCAATAGGCCCAATTAAAATGGAATGGAAAGGAGACATCCGGAGCCGGGGTAGTTGGAAATGTAGTGTGATCTTAGCTTGGATGCAGGGTCGTTGGGAGATTTCTTTTTTTTTAATTATTTTTAATATTTTTATACTTGACACTGACATTCGAAAAAGCAACCACGGGGAGGCGTATAGTTAGCAGATGCAAGTAACCAGAAAGACACTAGCTCGGACAGAAACGGGAAAATGAAGCACTAGTTGCATGTCATTCGTCGCTGTCAAGCGCGATATACGTGATACTGTATGGCAGACGTTTAGAGAACGTCGTAGAGTCAAGCCAAGCCTGCAAGACATGCGAAGGATCATGACAATACCAGTAACCTCCACTCGCTATCACACCGATTCGCTCGTCTCCTCCGTACGAGTCATGAACGACCACTTCTATCGCGGCATATCCGGTCCAACCAACCAGGCGACAAAACTGCTTCCCTTCAAAGTTCCCCAGTCAGCCTGCGCAGACCAAACCATGGATGGCTATGCAGAAAAAGGCAGCAGTCTCGACAGCCGGTGTGTATCATTGGGTCCCGGGGATTCGGGGAGTCGGGGGGGCATTTTTCCCTTTTCCCCTTCTGCCGTCTTCATTAATGTAGGTCTGAGCTTCGGGGGGAATCTCTTGTCCCGGTCTATCGCGGCTGTAGTGGAGTGGACCCGCGCTGATCGACGGTAACCTGCCATCGCGTCCAGGGTTGAAATCGATATCGTGACCGGCAAATCCACGGGGAAGTCCAGAGCGCCACATCCACGCTGATTGGCTGGCTCCGACCGGCGTAATGTATCCGGCGAAGGCCCAAGCCAGGAATGGCTCAATTGATTGTGGCACGGGGGCCATTTGCTGGGCGTGACCTGCCGTGCCCTCATTTCCATCACTGCTCGGATTCCCTTCCGTGGATACGTCTCGGATCGTGCCATTTAACTAGATGGTACGGGGTAGATTGAGCTTTAACTTGCACGGAAGCGCCGATCTATAATTTGTAATCTTCTCATCGGATTTCGCCTTGTCCAGGTCTCCAGATTCATCCGTCAATGTTAAAAACCCAACGCCACGGGAAGTCATGAACTCATTGAACGCATGGAAGATCTCCCCGGCCAGTCTTGTCGAATCTCGCCATTCCATACATGCACGGCGGTTCGCGCTTACTCGGGGACATACTCTGAACTCATTTCCAAATCAAGATTAGCAGATACGAGCAATTGCTTTGACGGTGCCCCAGGCCAGACCGGATAGGCCATGGCATACAAGGATGTTGCCAAAGACTGGATGTGGCTGTTTACAAGTACGACGAGAGACCAACCAAGCCCTGCAGTTTTTCTAGAAGACTATCATTCCCCGCGGACTGGCTCGTGGGCTACTTGGGACCTTGGACGCAGGAACCAGCCACGTTATTGCATGCCTCTCGCCGTGTGGCAGTCTTAGCCATGCATGTTTTCTTTGTCTGGCCCTCCCCCCTGTCCTTGTCGGGCACTCGAAAACCGCCTAGAGAGACTCAGTACGTCAATCAATTGCTAGAATAGTGGAGTGCAGATGCCATGTGTGATCTACAACTGTTGAAGGCTGAGACCTGCAGCATATCCATGTGGGTTTTACCCCTGGCTCAAAGAAGGTGGGGAGAGTTGATACAAGCCTGCGCATTGAGCTTATCTTTTGGCCTTTTTTTAATCCCCAGGTGGCCCTGTAAGCATCTTATTCGTTCTGGTCCATATGCCGGGATGGTATGGGGCTGAGCCAAAACGGATTCCACGTGTTTTTGAATGATCAAAGCGATCAAAGAAATAACATTGAGACCGCAACAAAGCTCTTTCCGCCGACTCGGAGGAAAGCATTTGGACTCACTTGGTAGTGCTTCGTATACCAAATCCCACTCCTTAGTCGAAATGCCTCCAATGCCTTATCCTTGAAGTCGTATAACCCTTAGCTTTGATGCAGGCATATCCTCAATTCCAAATCTCGAGGACCAAAAATGAGGGATCAATAGAGTATTCTCCGCCGTACCGGGGGATCATCGGTGCCAATAACTAAGGCGCTGTCAACCGGAATTCCAAATCCCGTTCCCAACAAGGCTAATCGACGACGAATGAGGTGCGCAGGCGTCCGAGCCATTGCTGCAACTGGCTGCGCACTCACGAACTCTTCTCTATCACGTATGAACCAGATTGACAGCTAGGATCACCCCGCTCAAGCCTCCACTGATTTCCTTCGAAGACCTTCTAGAAGTCCAGTGCCCCGACAGAAGAGGATAAGCCCCAACTCTAACCGTCCGTTGGTCGCAGTTCAGTCTGCTGACTCGACTGCTTTCGGATTGCACAATGTGCACAGACTCAGTCTCACTGGCTAACGGCGTTTCATGTTAGTCCTTCTCTTTCATCCCTGATCGCCCGTTCAAGTGTTCAAGTGTTTCGAGTGTTTCTAAAGATATCCTCGTTTCAAGTTATTCTCACGTTCATTGTTGCTATTTTCATAGCGATAGCAATGATAGCACGAGAGAAAGAGAAAGGGGGCCGGGGACCGATCAGCATGGGGAAAGAAGATCTACATTTGATAATGAAAACCAGCATAAAAGAGAGGTGAAGGGGCGGACTAGCCTCAGCAACTTTGTTACTCACACTCTCATTCGATGCCATCTGGACATGTTCCCCGATACCCCGATGCTCATGTCCGATACCCTGAACCTTGCACCCTAGTCCCTATAGTCCCACGCCTTCAGCAGGGGCCCTGGTCAAATTGGCCAAATATGGCTGCTGCTCTTGTTATCTTGCGATCTGCTTGTCCTTACCTAACAGATAATCGACCATGAAAGGGCCTGCGTGTGTTTAACTTCGGGCGTAGCTGCATTCGATCATCACACACGAACGCCATGCCACCTGTTGACCAGGTTCTCGAACTCAATTGCGAGTTGCCTCACCAAAAGTCGACCACGGCCCGCGGCCAGGCCGCGATGGATTACGAGAGCCAGAAAGAGCGGGGAGAAGTTGCACACCGGGATTGACGAAACTAAAAGTAGACCCGTAGACTGTAGACCGGAGTTAGCCAGCAGCCAACGGTGAAATCACGCGCAAACGGCGGATCGTCATTTGACGTTCGCCCGTGGGCCGTGATGGGCCTTGACTCTTCTTCGAGCCCCATAAAACCTAACTCCATCCTATCAAACCCTGACTTTTGAGAAAACTATCGTGGAAAAGAAAAAAAAAGACCAATAAATGTCCCATACAAGCGACGACCGACATGGGTGGATAAGATGGTGAGATCAGATCTGGGTTCCCCAATTCCCAGACCGCCACGAGGCAGTCCTCCTGCGCAACCTTACACAACAGCGGCTAGATTTAATTTGTCATGGTTGTATACCGGGGTCTGATGCGCTTGATACCCAAAAGGGAGAATGAGCTGCGTGCAATAATCTGCAAGCCTCAGCCATATAGCCAGAATATAGTCATGGCAGCAGCCAACAGTTGGGATTTCCTCACGATTGGTGCAAATTTGGGATCGTTGACGGTTTATCTGCCAGAATACGGGCGAGAAGCTATCTAGTTTTTGAGGCGTACTTCGTGCTGCGTACGGGGTACTCCGTAGATGCATGTCGTTTGTCCTGCGCTATTTTCCTGCTATTACATCTAACCGATTGTGGTTAATGTATAAGCTGTAGAAGTCATGTTATCCCTGGCCAACATTGACTACACGTCTTCGTTCCTCCCCCTCTCCCCTCTATTTTCTCTCTTTTAATATTTTATTTTGCCAATTCCCACTAGTTTTACATAGGGGCTGTAACGGACGTCGATCTTCATGTCGAGGATTCGGGGGAATAGACTTTCCATCCCCTCCAACCCCTCAGATGTGGAAAGTTGATATGTGTGATTTGGTTGTCACAACTCTAACGCCCGACGACCCGTTCCTCGGAGATCGGACTGCCCGGGACGCTAGGTATGGTTCTTGTTTCTGATTGATTAACTTGTATAGACTGACATTCGCTTGTATTGTCCAAGATCGGTCGAGATGGTACCGTGTTTCCTACGGGGAGCAAAGCCCAGACCAAGAGAAAGGAGTCAGAGAGATGCTACTAGGAGAAATTGCCAGAGATGCTAGATTTGGATTCTCAGGTATAGCGGTCTATTTTCTGTCTTTTCTGTCTTTTCTGTCTTTTCCGTGGTCAAGATACTTGATTTGGTTATCGAACCATTGTTTTTTTCAATGGTCAACATTCTCCGCGGTCAACACCAGTTCTCCACCCTCAGAATCACTGAAATCAACAAGTACAATCGAATGACCAGAAGTTAGCCGGATGAACCGAGACCCGATCACTAATACTAGCAACTCAAAAGTCCCTATGCTCCATCGACCAGGACCCTGGTCGGCTTGGCTTCCGGTCACCTGTTCAGAGATCGTCCGCGGACATAGCTATCTCCGGACCACCCATAGCCCTACTGTACCTTTTACAATGTACGTTGTCCAGATATGACTAGATCGGCGAGGCGCGTTACTCAATTTGTTCAAATCATGGGCATTAGAGTTCGCCGAAAGCTGAATTCCATGACTCAGACTAATCAGAGACATGTGGCATGAGCTAGAAAGGGCGAGGCCAGGCGACGACAAGAGCGAAGATCGTGGGTATCAGAGTTTCGCGCGACGTATGGCGATAGTGTCACCCATCCGTCACATCCAACGGCGCCTTGACTACGGAGTACGGAGTACGGAGGGCCTAGTGCAGGGTAGGACTGCTCCACTGCGGGTATCGGTGCACTAACTATGTTGTATAAGTGGGTTCAGTATGCGGGCTTTCGGCTACGGATTCTGGCGTACCTATGTCGGTACTGATTCCCAGGGAAAACGGAACGAATACGGGATACGAGGGGTTTCTCTATGCGCTAAGAGAAATTAATGGCTGCCTCATCGCGAAACATCCTGGTCGTTATCCAAATTGGAATGGGAATCCCGATCTCCAATTTGTAGGACGGGTTGGGTTCCTAGTTGGGTCTGGTGGATTTGAGGGGCAAAAGATGGGACAGAGGGATTCTCCGCTTGGGAATATGAGGAGTTGACTCTTGAAGCAGGGACCAGTGCTTGGTATAATATTATGCTCATTATTAATATAGTTATATGTTGTAGAAGTATAGAAGTAGATATTGTACCTGATCTATGCATATGGTGGAGTACGTACTTTGATCAAAGAAAGAGATCTCCAAAGACAAATGCAATTGTCTTTCCTTTCGTTCAAGCAGACTAGCCTACTAGCCTAATGGCTTACTGGCTTACTGGCTTAGCTAGGTAGTGGGGGGTAAATAGTCTGTGGCCACCCGTGTCGTTGACAAATACTTCCCTGCTCGCATTCCATTCTTAGACTTCCTTTCCTATTTTATGTTTTATAATCATGACGTCTGTATTCATTCTATGATGTATAGCTCTCCCCATATTCTATAGCTATAGCACTATAGCACTATCTTTGTAAGCATCTAACTCAGAACAGCAGCCACCTCTATGAGTGGCCGGGCCAGACTGCGAAACTCCACTCTCGCTGTTCTCCCACATTTTCTTCCACATTTCTAGACAAGAGGCTATGAGCTGCATGAGTGGAGAAAAGGATCAAGAACGCTTGGATCATGATCGTGTCTGCCGTGTGAACCTAATAATATGTCTATGTGCCGTACTTAGATTGCCCTAAGCTTATTCTGGCAATGACACGAAAGGAGCTACGGAGTTATGCAGTGTGGAGTACATATGGAGTACGGAGTTTCCGGAACGAACAGACTAAAATCTCTAGATCCCGAAAAGCGAACCCCGGGACGATCTTCTGATTGGATCGGTGAGCTTCATTTCAATAGCTAATCATTGCCTTCCAATTA